AGTTCATGTTTCGACTATAATAGCTTCTACTCGCCCGTTCACTTATGTGAATTATGTTCTGGGAATCATTGATTTCTGTGAAGATGTAAAGATGGATGAAATAGTCCCTATCTTCCATGAATTCACAGTCCAATGGGGGAGACAAACTAAAAATAATAACTACAATAAACTACAGGAGATCCAGCATGAGATGTCACACAGGAGTGAGCAGAGTGCTGTGGGGTGGCCAAGACAGGGCATGCCTGTTCCTAGCTGGAGTTCCTGGAGCGTGACTGAGACTCAGAAGAGTAGGAGTCTCACATAGGGGTGCAATTGACAGGAGCTTCTGAGCATAAAAAGTGTTTTATGTGTGGACAGGGCTCCAGCCAAGTGACATCTGACAACTCAGACTCTGGGAAGATTTATGGTGAACAGCCAAAGGTGGAGCTTAGCTGTGTGGCCTTGAGTGAGCGACTTATAAGCTCTGTCTCCTCTTCTGCAAAATAGGCAAGTCATGTTTGTCTCATAATAAACTTGTGGGGATAAAATGAAAGAATGCAACGTTTTCACAGTCATCACTGAATGAGTCCAATTCATTACTTTTCTAGGGTCAAAATATTTAATTTAAGTTTTTAATGTTTGTTAGGTAGAAATGGGAAGAAAACCTGGAAGAATAGAAAAGAAACAGACATCTGTGGTTGTCAGTACTGATAGCTGCTAAGCATTCTAGCCTTTGTCCTCTGGCCCACCAAAGGCTAGCCAAAGTTTCTATTGATCAGATTCATTTTTGCTTTTGTTTTGTCTTGGAATTTATCTCCAGTAGCTCTATGGTGCATTAGCCTGTGGTGAGTGAGGGACAGATAATGAGTTAGACGAACAGAACTGGAGTTGAGAGAAGATGGGTGTGAAAACAGTGGGATAAAAAGATGTTTATGACATAAAATTGACAAGATTTGAATGTGGAGGGGTGAGTGTGGCTGGTTGGGTTTAAAGAATTTTTCAGAGGGCCATGGAGAGGAGACATAGTTTTGGGAATGTACAAATAAGGAGTTAATCCAAATAAGAACTACAAAAAGCCAGATATACTATCCATAAGATCATTGGCTAAGAAGCTATGAGAGAGAAAATCTAAGCAAGAGCAAATACGTGGAAACCTGGGGCACTGAGCTAATGTGACAAACTTAGCAGAGTGTGTGTCATGGATCCTAAACACATTTTCTGAGCTGCCAACAGTCAGAAAAATAACTTAATCTAATGTCTGTGGCCTTCTACTGGGCAAGGCAGGAGTTGGGTGAGGTTGCTCTCCAATATGGTCATTCAACACTCTTTTATGTTTAATAAGCATTCAGAATTAATCTAAACCCTCTGAAGTTATATCAAGATGTTTCAAGGATCTTGGTTTTGATTAATAATTCTCCCCAACTAATATACTTCCTGTGGGTAATTCAGACACTGCATACAGACTTTCACTTACTCTGAGATCACCAAAGAATCATTTAGAAAGCAACTGCTCAGAAACCTAATAGCACAGCCAAAGTGTTAATGCACCTTTTCAAAGCACGAAGGAGCAGAGCAGATTCAAACGGATGTACCGACTATGTATAAAAAATACATGGTGACGCACCTCGTCTGATCTATACTTGAAGAGGTCCCTTTTTATGTGTGAGATTCTGCAAGTTAATTTTTCCTGTCTCTGACATTCAAGTGTTTTTAATTGCCAGCCTTCCGGATTTGCCGTCGGTATGAATCAGGGGGGGTTTTATTTAATTAAGCCAGCTTATCTGTCATCCATCACAATTAATCCATTCTATCTCAATTACTTTTCCATTTCCAGAACCAATCATCACATATTAATACAAATATAGGGAAATATGATTCATTCTCATAAAATAAGAGCACCAGAATGTGTACCAGGTATGGTCTGGGTACTTCCTTCACATATTTAGCAAGGTTCAAAATAGCTTGATAAGAAAATACTCGTATTCTGCTAGAAATATGGAAATCTGAAATTCATATTTCACTCTTTTCATTTACCTTATGACACTAAATATCTAAACCCCATCATTTATTTTCCAGAATCTCAGTCTTGTTTTTATATCTTCCCAATGACGAATTGTATCTTAGGAGGCCTCTGTGCTCCGGGAGGTTATTGTCGGGTGGGTAGTAAGGCCAGGGTATGGTTTGTCACCGTCATGTGTGGGTTTTTCATTCACTCTCACTCATTGATCATGACTCTAATCACTGGGGAGGCACCAGCCAATGAGGCAGAAGATTCCAACTCCCCGTTGAGCTCACATTTTTGTGGGGAAGATAGTAAACAAACAGCAACCGTAGTGATGAGTTGTATGGAAAATTTAAAAGAAGGTAGTGGACAGTGGTTCAGAGGCTGCTGTGGAGAGAGTGCTTGGAGAAGGGCTCTCTGAGAAGGTGAACTAAAGGGGACACTCCAGTGTCCAGAGATGCCTCAAGCAGATCCAGGACTCAGGGTTGTGGGAGGAAGATACAGCAAGAGCAAAGGCCCATTCGTGGGACTGTAATCGGGGAACCTGCTGGAGGCCAGCCCTGCTGGGGTGGCATGAACAGGGAAGTAGTAGGAGATGAACTTGGGGAAGGTGAAAGCTTTCAACAGAAAGAGTGTGGATTTCCGTCCAAGTTTCATGCAAAGCTGAAGGAGGGTTTGAAAGAGGGTCATGATGTGATCAGATTTACATGTTGAAAAGGTCCTTCTGGCAGCTCTGTGTGGAATGGATTGAAGAAAACAAATATGAAACGGGGATCCAGTCCAGTTGAGAGGGGGATTTGGCTTGCATCCAGTAGCAGAGGGAAGAGCTGGATCACTTCAGGATTTGTTTAGAGGAAGATCTTGATGGATTGGCTATGGTAGGAGTTTGTAACAGAGAAAGAAGAATCCATCAAGGATACCTCAAATTTATTTATTGGACACATTAGAATTTCTACGACCCTTAGCCATTTTTTATAGCTAGTATATTCATTGCTTTCAAAGGTTGATTCTTTTTGTAGTTGCCCATCTCTGGGGTAAAGCAGAGCAATGCATGGCTTCCAATCTGAGTTGTCTAAACTAGTGACCATATAACCTGGCCAGTTTCTTAATCCCTCTGTCTCTAGTTTCTTCTATCAAAAGAACAGAATAAAAATTTCACCTATTTCATATGGTTGTCATCAGAAATGACCAAGGGGAAAAAAAAACATATAGGCTTGCTTAGCACACTACCAGATTATAGTAAGACTATTCACTATTAGTAAATATTAGTGATTGAGTACTATATTTCTGTCTTTTCCTCCTCACTTTTGCACATGCAGACCTCACTACTCAGTAATAAGAATTATAATTAGATTTTTTTTAAGAAACAAGAAATTTCTGTTCCTTCTATCATTCCATAATTATTTCATGTATCAAATACTAACTTTAGAATTTCAGAACACTCAGACCTGTTGAATATATTCCCAACTTCCATATATGGAACTATTTGTTTTTTAAATGACTTTTGTTGTTGTAGTTCTTTGGGTTTTAAAAAATCTGTCAAGACCTTTTAGAGAGATTGACTATTAGCAGCTTTAATATAAAGTCAGTGTTTTCAGCTTTTTAAATGGGGCAAGAGAGGATAGGTATCTGATCCCAAGATTATGTAAATGATATAAAAGCTTAATGTGCTGTGTCTGGCAATGCCGTCACCACAGGGCCCCAACAGCCTGGTTTTCTGTTTGCCCTTTGGGCTCAGGACCACATTGGATATCAACTGTGTGGAAAGACCCAGTTTGTTTAGGTATCGGAGGAATCTGAAGCTCTCTCTTCTTCTGACTGATTTTCATCTAAACTCTGGTGCCTGCCACTCTGCTGGGCTGTAGCTACATTTCAGACTCTTGAAAGTGGTTCTTTGTTTCTTCTCAAAATAGGCTTAAGAATAGTAGGAAAACAGAGTGGGTCACCACAGCTTATGGTTAAATATTTCATGGGCAGATGTGCTTGAGAATAAGAAGGAAATTCTTTTGAGTTCTTATCTGCATTGTAAATGTGCCCTGCAGATGTTCCATCATTTCAGCTGGGATTAAGGTACATTTAGCAAAGGACACTTTTCATGAGATAACACATTCACTTAATTTTTGAAAGAAAAAAAAAAAACTTTCCAATGGTTCACTGGAGTTCATGGGGCAAGGACACCCCTCTTTGGCTGTAATACTTCTAGAGTGTCACCATGGATGCAAGAGAATCATGGCATTCAGCACAGGAGGCTTGGGAATTCCTTTCTGTGCAAAATGTTCAACATTAAATGCGTGTGGGTTTGTTCTCTAATTCTGGTTTCAGGTTCTTTGTCTCATATTTTCTAATGACAGGATAAAAATATTTTATTTCAGAACTCTTGCATGATGTGGCACATTAAAAAAAATAACCATTCTTAATATAACAAAGTCCCTAAACCTAAAATGTGAGATGTTCCTGTTAAACCCTTGCCCCATTGAATCTACAGAGGGTGGGATCTGCTAGTTTTTCATGTTTGCTTCCACTATTGGTCTCTCATAAATTTTTATGCTGATTGCCTGGATACTGTGTCAAATTTGTAAACGTTGCATTATTTCTAATCTCTACAGGAAAATGTGTGGATTTTTGGTACATCAATGACTAAATCAATGCGTGTGTGAGTTGAAATTTTTGCATGTCATTGAGATAAAACAGGGGGATCTATAATGTCACCTACTTCCCCCAAAGACAGGGTGGTCATGACTATTTAAAAGTTTGATAAACTCCAATGTGGGCATAAAGAATCAACTTGGTTCTCATTCCTGCACAGAAAATGGACCAGTGAGGCTCTCGTCCATCCTGTGTGCTACTTATACACGCCTACTGGGTGGATCTCTGGGGAATTATCCCAGCAGCCCAATATCCCACCGCTTCAAAACTTAGCACCCCAATTTCATATATTAACATTAATATTTAAGTTTTTATTATTTTCCAGAAATATGTGGGCATACCTCACTTGTATATGTTTGTTTTTCTACTGTAGACACGGGAGCAGAAAGACGGGCACTGAGAGAAAATGTATATCCTAAACTGAGAGAATTCTGCAGAGAAAACTATGGACTGGAATTTCAGGTAACTCTAATGCTAATTTCATTTTTAATTATATCAGCTGAATAAGTAGTCGTTTCTTTTTAGAATTCGAGTGTGGTAAAATACAAGTTGTAAGCCCTGAAAATGTTCATTTCTATTAGGATGGGTATAAAAGAAATATTGGAAAATGGAAATAAAAGTTATTTTTAATATTTTTTTAATTTTTTGCTGTGATTCTTGGACCCTGCCTGGTACTGGCCATCTTTTTTTAAAAAAAACATATTCATTTGCCTTTTAACAGTCTCTACTATCAAAAAGATAGGTCACTGAGCACCTGCCCTTAAATTTTAAGCTGTGGTCTTCTGGGATGTTCTGCATCTAAAGGCAGGGCCAACTTTTTGAAAGTATTTCTTTTTCAGCAGCCTGGCCAGCTCTTGCCTTCTAACTGCCTTCTGGTTTTTAATTCACATTGTAGAATATTCTTTTTTCTGAGTATTTCAGGGTTTTACCATTTACCCAAAAGTGTGTGTGTGTATGGGGGGGGGTATTAAGGTTTGAATATGAGGTATCCCCCAAAAGCTCCTGTGTTAATGTAGGAACATTCAGAGGCAAAATAATTAATGAGAGTTGTAACCTTTTAAGTCCATTCTAGTTTGAATGGACTGACCAGGTGGCACCTGAAGGCAGGTGGGTGTGGCTGAAGGAGGTGGGTGTGGCTGAAGGAGGTGGGTGTGGCTGAAGGAGGTGGGTGTGGCTGAAGGAGGTGGGTGTGGCTGAAGGAGGTAAGTCACTGGGGCATGCAATGGAAGAATTCATCTTCCCAATGCTTCTCCCTTGCCTCTCCTTCCTGGCCACTATGAATGAAGTAGCACCATGATGTGCTGCCTCTCCTTGGGCCCAAAGCAGTGGAGTTGGCCCACCATGAACTAAACCTCTGGAACAATGAGCTAAAATAAATTTCCCCTCTTCTGAGTTGTTCATGACAGATATTTTGATCACAGCAAAGAAGAGCTGACTAAAACAGCTTTTATGTGTGTATGTGTGTATCAGCCTGACAGTAACTTCCCATGTCATTGCTAAAGTTCATATGGTTTTTATACACCGTAGATTTGGCACCTGGGGAAAAACAAACAGTACTTGAAAACATTGAATGCATCTTGGACATTCAAAACTTGAAAAAGTAAATGGCTCCTGGATAATAGTATCTATTCAGAATTTTTCAGCTGGCCACCATTTGCACTTACAATGGAAATCTTAAGTCTCTGGTACTACCTCAACTGCACATCGACATTGCCAAGTGATGCATATGTAATAGGGTTTATGGTACAAGAATGGAAAATGTACCATTGTTAATGGATGAAAATGTCACCCTTCATTTTTGTTGCCTCTTAGATAAATATTTTATCTCATGATGTGTTCTAATATGATGTATAAAGTAATTGTCTCTAAATGGCCTCAGTCTCAGAGCACAGTGTCAGCAGCAGGCCGTATGACACACATAGTGAATAGTTACTCATAAGTCACCATTTACTTGATAAATTGTGAGCCTAAATTATATTCCTTGTCATGAATTCAGCACTGCCTTCTCTGAGGAATCTGGTTCTACTGATAACAGGGTCCCGATTGTTACAAAACTTCCAATCTGTCAGGATTCCCGACGACTTGGACACTCCTTCGGGACTCTGTTGCTATAGAAAAAGAAATGTGTCCAAGCACATTAATCCCATCTTTGAGTTTGTTTTGCATCCTTCCTGTTATTAAATAGAGGAGGTTGTTGACTGGCCTCCATAGAACACAGTACTGACAAGGATTTGCTGAGGGGGAAAAAAAAGTATAATTTCCAAATTAGAGGTGGGCACAGGAGAATACAAGAGAGCCCGAGGGAAATTGCAGAAGGCAAAGCCTGTAGAATAAATTGAGGGCAAGAATCATTCTAGACAGGTGTACTGGGTCAGTCGGTGAGATCCTGGAAAGAAGACATGGACTAGGAACCCAGAGTAAGTTAATTGACCCATCCTTCAGCTCAGTATTTATACTAGGGATTGTCACTCCTTACAGGTCCGATGTGGTGTTTAGAATAAGTAAACCTTGCAAGGTTGCATTTGCTTACCAGTTGTAAACTCAGCAGGAGCTCAAATACATAACATCTGAACCTTCTAAGACTGTACTTCTTACTCTAGACTTTTATAGTAGGTTATTTATGGAGCTTTTCCCTGAAGCTATATTTTCCAGCGAGATTGTTCTCTCTCCTCAGCGGCAATAAAATATGTGCCAGAAGCTTCCTGAGAAGCCAGTTCACCTCACAGTATCCCAGATTCCATCTTTGCTTGTGCCCTGCACCCAGAAGAAATCCATTTCCAAGTCACTTAGACACACCAGTCTATTTGGTACCTGCCTCTGTTTGCTCATGTTTGCGGGTTTAGTCCCTCCACCTGCATGCTTTCCATCTAGCTCCTCCCCTATGCCACCTCCTGCAATCTCTGGCCTGATCTCAAATTGCTCTCCTCTCTTCCTGGCCCACTGCTCTGCCACCTCTTGTGCTGCTTTGGCTCTTTCCTTCAGCCATGATCCGTATCAGGAATACTTAGCTCTTCATCCTCATAGGCTTGCTTTCTAATTGTCCCTCGGGTCTCCACTGAAATGTCATTTCCTAGAGATGATTCTCTGATGATACAGTCTGAAGTCACAACATAGATACTTTATGATGCAGTATTTTTTTAAAGAGAGTGTGTGTGTGTGTTTTTAATATTTATTTTTTAGTTTTTGGTGGACACAACATCTTTGTTGGTATGTGGTGCTGAGGATGGAACCCGGGCCGCATGCATGCCAAGCCAGCGCGCTACCGCTTGAGCCACATCCCCAGCCCCTATGATGCAATATTTTCAGTTCTTTGCATAGCATGTGTCAGTCTCAGATATCTTTCTTGTTTACTGATGGATTGGCTTGCTTATTTTCTTTCTCCCACAAGAACAGGGGCTTGTCTGCCTTCATGGCAGCTACATTCATGTCTCTAGAATAGTACCTGGTACCTAGGAAAAGTCTGTAAGACTTTACTAATGAATGAGGAATGAACACACAAAGTTTTCCTTAAGAAAACTTTCTCTAATTCCAGGATGTGTCATATGCCCTTCTTATTGTTCCTCTAAAATTCTATGCATAACTACCAATCATTCAGTATATTTTAAAAGTGTGTGTTGAGCACTGACCACTGGTCAGCATCCTAAGCTCTGGGACTACAGGAGCAAACCCCAGAGGCCCTCTTCTGTAAAGTTTTCAGTGTTGTTGAGGGATACAGACAATAAATGGATAAATTCCAGCAGTAATAAGTGCAGCTTATCTGGTAAATGTTTTGATGAAAAACAAAGCAGGGTAAGGGGGTTTAGGGAATGCCAGGTGGTCCAAAAAGAACTTGAGCAGAAATCTGCAGAAGGTGACAGCAAATCGTGTAGATGTCAAGGAAAGGAGAATTCCAGAAGTAAGGAACAAGGAAAAGGATCTGAGACAGGAGTGGGTTTAGAACATCCCAAGAAAAGTAAAGAAGCCAAGAATGAGTGGAGTGGATTGAGGGAAAGAATTACAGTTGACATCAAAGTTGGATCATAAGGGACATTACGGGCCAAGATTATGGACATGGAATTTCACTGAATGAGAGGAAAAGAGCAACATGATAAGACTTTCAGAGGCTTGCTTTGGCACTTTGAACAGGGAGGAATGGTGGAACAAGAAGTGGTCATGGCAGGCTCTAACATGAGCAATGGAGAGAAGGAGATGTCACTTGGTGGGCGCTTCCTTGTCTGTCTTTAAGGACTGCACGTGTGTCTTATTCAGCTCATCCCAGTGGTCATTTAAGCAGCTGGTAATCATAAGCCATTTAACCAAAGCTTTCTTAAATTAGATTGATAAACATGCAGTAGTATGTTAAGCCAGCCCGTGTGCCTTTGATCTCCGTGCCTGTTTAGTGGGCCATTCTGTGGCATTGCCTTTGTTTCTTTCATTGAAACTCAGATGTTTAATGAAAATGCGCCAGTCTGATTATGTGAACTTCAATTAATTCTGCGTGTGACCTATAGAGTGACTACTCAGAGAGGAAAACAACAGTGGAAAGAACACCAAGCCCTCTCAAAGTGATGAACGCCCGTGGATTCAGAAAAAGGCACAGCGTTTAAACGTGGCATTTAATTTGCTGGTGTTCACTAAGTGCCTTTGGCTACAAAGAGGGTAGAAAAATAAGAAGGGGAATGAACTGAGAAAAATAAAAGCAGACTGGGACCAAAGCATGTGGTGTGGGACCCAATAGATAAAAGGCTGATGGTTCTTCCCCAGATACCACCTGTTCTTGCTTTCAAATCTCCTCTCCATTCCTGCTGCTCAGACCCCGCTCTAACCTGCAGGGCTGCAAGTAGTGAATGAAGATATAGCATCTTAACAGGTCTCTTCCTGCTTACCCCCACCAGGCCACAGTCTGTAAGGAAGGAACTCTTTTGTTTTTAAGTCCCCAGGGCCTGGAACAGAGTTCCATGTTGAGTAGGGTTTTAGAAAAATATGCTTAGCAGAACCACCCACCACCAGCACCCTACTTGAGTCTTTCTATACACCACCACCAGAGCATCCTCTTGAAAGGTCATATTGTGGGTTCCTTTAGGTGTTGAATGGCATCCATGGCCTCCAGGGTTTTAATATGAGCCTAGCTATTTCTCCAGCTTTTCTGCTATTCCTCCTAACACTAGCAGTCAGGCCATTGTTAGCCTGTCCTTGGAACACAGCTGGCCCATGGCTCGTTTTGGACTCTGAGATCTCATTCTCTGTACGCATTTCAATTTTCCCCTCCTATCAGTCATACCCTTTTACCCCTAGCCACCCTTATCCCTGTCCTTCAAAGGCCATCTCAAAGCCTGACTTCCCAGTGACAGGTACCCAAAAGAATGCAACAGAGACAGTTTCTAGAAGAGATGTAGTTGGATTAAAATTCACTTTTACACGTTAAAAAAAGAAAAAGCTCAGAACATGATTAAGAAAATAGTTATTTCACTTATCAAAATTTG